CCCAGCCCCCCCCTCAGACCCAGGAATACAGGCCCCAGCCCCTTCTCCATAATACAGGCCCCCAGCCCCTCCTTCATCATACCCAGGCATCGAGGCCCCCAGCCCCTCCTCTCTTAGACCCAGGTTTCAGAACCTGGTCCTTTCTTCCTTCAGAACCAGGGACCAAAGACAGCAGCCCCTCTTCCCTCAGATGCAGGAGGTCACCCCTTGTTTCCGGAACTCAGGAGTCTGGGTACCTGTCCCCTTCCTTCTTTAGGATCCATGAGTCCAAATCCCCAGTGCCCTTCTCCCTCCTCAAGAGCTAGATGTTTGAACCCTCAGTTCCATCTTCTCTCAGACCCAGGAGTCTAGACCCAGACCCCAGGCCCTTCCTCTTCAGGATCCAGGAGTCCCTGCTTTCTCCTGTTTGGGACTCAGAAACTTGCTGTTCTGACCTTTTCCCCTGTCTTTGACCCAGGAGTCTAGACATTCTCCAGAGCCCACAAGAATCTGGTTCCCTAGCTCCTGCATCTCTCCTATGACCCAGGAGTCTGCCGACCCTTCTTTCTTACTTTCAGGGACCCAAGAGTTCAGGCTCCTCCTGGGGCACAGGACTCGTCCTAGGTTCTGAGAAGTCTGGACCTCCAGTTGGTCCTTTCTCTCAGGACCCAGGAGTCCAGGCCCCTCCATTCCACCTTTCCTTCTTAGGCCCCAGGTGTAACCCACAGGCCCTTCCCCTCCAACAGTATTTGGGAAGGTTCAGCCCCTAGCCCACCTATTCCCCATGCCCAAATCTCCTCCCAATCCTAGGAGCTCATAATTCTAGCCTTACTTAAAACTGAGGAGTCACTCCTGAGGAGTCAAATCTGGCTGTGGAACCCCATCCAAACTCCAGCTCCCTCCCTGTTCCTCTGCGGGATCCACAAAACTTGGTCTCACTTCTCCCCCAGCTGGATCCTCTGGCCTTCGGGCTTGTCCACTGCTCTTGAATTGCACGGCCAGCTCTGCTCTCCTGCCTGGGACAGCACTACTCATCGCTGCCACTGACCTTGAGCTCACTGTGCCGGACACTGTGCTAAGAGCTTTCTGTGCATCTGCTCATTTGGTGTGCTAACCCTCCGAGACCCACATTGCCTAAGTTCAAATCTCTACTATTGCTGGCATTCCCATTTTACAGGACAGGAAACTGAGGCTCAGATGTGCTAAGGAGCTGAGGGCTGCACTGAAAGTGGAAGAGCCAATTCACACCCCGATCTCTGGGTCCAGAGGTGTACCTTATGCCAGACTCCCTCTCAGGACTCTGGAGCTGCAAACACTTGTAACTCTGTACTACACCTGACTCCCCATACTTCAGCATCCCCAGTGATCTTCTCTTGAGGATCCCCATCCTTCCCATGGACTCAGGCCACCCTGTTTCTTGGATGCCCTGTCACCTAGATCCTGGACAAGCTGCCCTTGGCCCCCTTGTTAGGGATGCCACCATCTATCCCAGGGACTCTTCCATTCTGAAGCCTGGCTCCTTGCTCCCCCAGAAGAAAGTGTCTCCTCTCCTTTCTAGGCCCTAGGCTCTGGCAGCAGCCATTCCTGTCTCTCAGTTGACCTAGCCGTACACTCACCCTTCCCAGGCCTCTTCGGAGCTCCCAGGGCTGGGACTGCTGGTCTGTGGCTAGTGTCAGTAGCAGCCTGGGGTGATAAACTGGGGCAGGGGCTGTCCCGCCCAGGGTGTGGCCGCAGGCTCCACCTCCCACCCAGAAAGGACAATGAGAACCACGTGTTGTAAACAGAGCAGAGCCCAACTCCCTGCTGCACAGCCTGCTGCCAGTCCCAGCTCAACTGGGAATCCTTGTCACAGGCTCCTCTGCCTTAGAACTCAGGAGTCCAGGTCCCCATCCTCCTCCTTCCTATGACCCAGGGGTCCAGATCCTCAGTTCCCAACTCTCTCAGACCCAGGAGTCTAGGCCCCCAGCCCCTCCTACCGTGTCACGAGCCAGCAGTCTCAGCCCCAGTCCTGAACAAATTGTCCCCTCTCACCCAGCCAGGCTGCCCTCTCCCTGCCCAGAGTGGATTCAGGGAGCCAAAGGCCCAGTGATCTCAGCTCCCGCCCCCAGGCTGGCCCTGGCACAGCAGGCCCCAGCTGTTGGGGGGAAAGAGGAGGTAGCCAGCCCTGCCTGTCTCTCCTGGGAGGACAAAAGCTGATTAAGGGCAGTGCCAAGCTCAGTGAGGGGCCCAAGTCACAAGTCTTAACGGGTGGTCTTCCCACAGCAGGCACCCTGAATTTGCCACTTAGCAGTCACAGCTAGCCCTGCTGTGACTGCTATCCCCACCTCACATATGGGGAAACTGAGGCTCAGACAGATGCTTCACCTATGTTACAGTACATGCTCCTTGTCTGGCTGGCTCTTTTTCACCCGTCCAGGCCTGAGCTTGTCACCTCCTCAAAGAGGGACTCCCTAACTGCTCCACCCCATGTAAGTATACACCTTCCCCCGTTATTTTTTGCCATAATACATAGTTCTCCTTCCT